ATGCAATGCACCTAGGCAATTAACCATTTCTATCATGCATTTGCTTCGGTTGCGTGCGTCATTCCGGCCTCTCACAGTTGTTCCTCTTCTTTTAAACTTTCTTTATTCTATCCTTTTTTATTTTTCCTTTTCCCTTTTAGTGGTGGTCGAATCCTATAGAGATTGCCTACGTATCATGTCCCCGCATGAATCAGACCGTGCGTAGTTCTGTCAGATAAGTGTGCAAGTAAATAAAACATCTTTGGGATTCTTAGCTTTTATAAAATAGATGCTTCGATTACACAGACTCAATATCAACAAATTTCAAAAGACCAACAGACTCTGACGCAAAGACGACAAACAAACTCCGAAATCAAGCTATCATCCTCTAAATAAATGCAGACTCGGAACAGAAAGAAAATGCAAACCTAACATGACTCACAGACTCTGACAGAAAAGGAAATACAGATTCAAATGGAAAATTATGAGTACATCAATGCTCCTGGTGTCTGTGGGACATCATTCGGTCTCGCCACAGGCTTATGTGCAAGATCCCTTTGAAGTCGGTCCAAATTGTTCATTATTTGTTTAACAAAGGTCATCACTGCCGCAAAGAATGCAGTGCAGGTCATACCCTCACAAATATGGCACTTCATAATGATGTAATCATCGATGTTTCTAATTCTCTCTCTTATGATGCCCTTTTCTTGTAACAAACGCCTAATCTGCTGGGCCCTGGCCTCCAAGGTTTGCTTGGCTGTATAGTTTTGTTCCTGAAGTTGTTGCAAGTCTATTTCTAACTATGCCAATGTCGTGTGACAATGTTCCCTTTCAACCTTGAAGTCTTTTGCCTGTTTGATCATTTTGTTTCTCGTGGCGATGACCCTTTTCTTCAACCCCGTGACTTCATCGTCGTACCTTTCTCTCAACTGCTTAACCAAGCATACCCGTTCATCTGCATTTTTGGCTAATTATTTTTGAGCCCCGGCCAGTTCACTTTCTACTTTGTTCAAATAGAAACTATAGTTACTCACTTTCTGCCTTAGGTTAGCTACGAGCTTTTCATCTCTGTTACTTCGGACTGGATTTTCTGCCGCTACTTTTAGTTTCTGAATTTGAGCTCGGAGGGCCTCATTTTCTTTAGCTAGTTTCTTTTTCTCGCCCTCATCTGCGGCGGCCTGCAGATCTTTCTCAAATTGCAAATCCATGACTTGCTTCTCCAATTTGCCTATTGTAACCCTGTACCCATGTTCTTTAGCCAACCAATCCCACTGTTCTTGCGACGTCTTGACGAACTCCTGGAGATGGGGTCTTTTGGCCGGTCTCCCAAACTCGATTTCTCTCCTATACCAAGCAAAGTAGTTTGGCGAAACTTCATTTTTGGACCGATTGCATACACATGTATTTGCTGTTAAGTATTGACACTCGCTCCAAATTTGTCGGACTGCTGCTTCATGAAATTGTCCGTTAGGCCCGATCTCGACCACTTAGCCGCTAAGATCTTCATCTTTCGGAACTATTTGGCATTTCCCCAACTGCCGCAATACTCGATACGGGGCATAGGGATGAATACTCCTGAGTCCCATCAAAAGGAAATGGGGTCCAGTGGATGGCATATATATGATTTCATCCACAGGCAACCATCCAAATGTCCATTCTATTTGGCTTGCAATGACAGAACAGAGGCGCGCTTTCCACTCTGTGACCCCTTCTGGTAAGCTGATTTCGTCAACCCTCGTAGAAATTCCTCTATGCACGTTTTCTCCATCAACCCATAACTCATAAATTGAGGATGATGACATAGGTGTTCGATCATCCACATCTGCAGCAACACGTTGCACCCCTCAAAAAAGTTTCCCTGGGCTTTGCAGGCTGTGAGAGTGCGGAAGATTTCAGCTACTATCATGGGTGAGAGGGTGCTGTTGGCCTGAGTAAGCAAAGTGCTAACAACCCCAGATACTCGTATGTCAATGTTCCCATCTTTTCTAGGAAACACCAGGAGTCCCAAAAAGGCTACCATGAATGCAAAATACCTATGTTCTTCCCACTTAAGGCGGTTTCCTTTACTACAGATTTTGTTCTCTGGCTTGTTGAAACCCCTAGGTGACCATATCTATTGTATAAACTTCAAAGTACAAAATCCAGCTGCCAAGTCTGGGTTGTGGACCCCCTGCTTATTTTCAAAGAGTCTAGGAACCTGTGTACGGCTACGGCCCTCGGAGCAATCAGGTACTAGTGTCTCAGAGGAACTTTGGGACTCCCGATGTATCCGACTATTTCTTCCAATGTTGGGGTAAGTTCAAAATCTGAGAAATGAAATACATTGTGAGCCGGGTCCCAGAATGCGACCAAAGCCTTTATGATATCCCCCCTTAGGATTAATCTTCAGCAACCCAGTGAGACCTCCCAGGTATAACTTGACCGTGTCGCGCCCTGATTCGCCCAAGTCATCCCACCACATGCACAACTCCAAAGGGATCTTGTTCACTATTGTTACGTGTAAATTCTGACTTGTGCTCATTCTGCACATTTATTAGGGTGGTTAAGCAAAAATCGTGATGCAATGGACTCAAGGACAACATGGACACTTTTCTATTTAAAATAAAACCTAGTTTTGCCTATACGGCCTTTCAGCACCTCGGGGTCGAAGATTTTAAGGCTGTGTCGGCTAACCGGTGAAAGCCTTGAAAAAATGACCACAGGTGGCTGTTCTTGCAAAAATAGCCTTCTGGCGCCCTTTTAGGGACATTTGGCTATTCCTAACAAGAATGGCATCACCCTAATTATTTTCCAGTAAAAATTTGTTCTTTTGGCTATTTTTGCAAAGAGTGAAGTTGGACCCGATGGGGGTTGCCTACGTATCTCACACCCTGTGAGAATCAAACTGGCGTAGTTCGGGCCGATAAAACAAACTTCTTTTGAAAACGAGACTCTTTTCATTGGCAAATAAAACTATTTTTTTTCTCTTTTTTTTTATTTTCTCAAAAATTCGTCAGAGTTTCGACACTATTTGGACATTGTTTTTTTTTCAAAATAGGCTATTAACTCTCTTTAACCCTCGTACCTCTATCTCTCTTTCCTCAAAATATTCAAAAGCCGGTCAGCATGCAAGTCCGAAGCAAACAAATGCACGAGTAGCAAGTAAGATGCATCAGGATGGTCTTTTGTCATTTTCGGTGCACCTGTCCTAGATAGACCCAACCCCTGTGTTGAGCCTCCAAAGTCAAATGCACGAGATGCAAACAAACGTTCCTACTAGGTATTAGGGCTGTGCATGGATCGGATCGGATCGGATTTAGCATATTTCGGATTGAAATTTCGGATTTCGGATTCCACAAATTGCAATCCGAATCCGATCCGAATTATATCGGATTTTTAAATTTCGGATCGGATTGGTGATCGGATTTTCGGATCGGATTGTATGTATTAATAAGGAGTGTGTATCACTGTATATGGATAATGGATGTTAGATAATACAATAGCATTTAAAAGAACAAAAATAGCAAACAAATGACTATAAATTACAGTACCTCAAGATTTTACTTTTGCCCTAATTCCAATTAATAAATATGTTACTAATGTCTAATAGTATAGTATTGTAAAATGTAAATGGTTAAAGGCAGCTGACAGTCTCATTGTACTTGCAAGTTGCAACCCATAAAGGTGCACAATATTGCACCAATTCATTTCCCAGTTGAACTGTTGAAGCATAACAGAAGGCAGAAGCATAGCTAAGCTAACGCCTAACAGTTACAACTTACAAGTTACAAGAGCAGAAGCATAGCAGATAAGCAGAAGGCAGAAGCATAGCAGAACTGCAGAAGCATAACACAAATCCCTGCAATAACTTTGGTACTTTGCAAAAGTATAGCAAAAGAATTTCTAGTTCTACTGAATACTGATCATTCTCATTCAATCCAGATTCTTTTAAGAACCAAAATGGAAGAAACACAAGAGCAGAAGCATAGCAGAAAGCCAGAACTGTAGAAGCATAACACAAGTCCCTGCAATAACTTTGGTACTTTGCAAAAGCATAGCAAAAGAATTTCCAGTTCTACTGAATACTGATCATTCTCATTCAATCCAGATTCTTTTAAGATAATGGAAGAAACACAAGAGTAGAAGCATAGCTAACAATTCAAGAGAAGGTAATAATTCAACAGTTCAACATGTCCATAAACAAAACACAATCTTCAGAATAAAATCCGATCCTTAATCACAATCTTCAGAATAAACAGTCCAGAATTCCTTAATGCAGCAGGCAACAGCCTTAAGTTCTGGCACACTGGAACTGAAATCCTCAACCTGGCACACTTTCAAGTTCTGCAATACTACACTTGTCAAAAATGAGAGAATCAGTAAATGTGTATCATGTCAAGTTGGGCAGCATGTGCAACAGCCTAATGCAGCAGATTGACTGCTTGGTGGTAGAACAAAATAATACAATAGAGAAGGCTAAATGCAGCAGCTTGGTTCAATTTATTATAAGGCTTAAGAAAACTTTTAACATGCCACGAACTCGTACCTTTTATATGTCGACGATGCAAGGCTCTCTTCCGGTATTAATCAAGTCTGTAGAATAAGATAGTAATAGAATAAATTAGTTTAAAAATAATCTAAAGAAACATAACATAAGTATACATTAAACACAAGTAAAGTAATAGAAGAAATAAGATAGTCTTACCCGCTTCAAGTTGTTCAAGATTATCTAAATCTTCTTCAATTTAAACCGGAGTTGTTGATTCATTCTGAAGCCAATCTTGGACACACACAAGAGCTTGAACCAATCTAGGTGTCAATGAACTCCTAAATGGATCAAATATGCGTCCACCGGTACTAAATGCTGATTCTGAGGCAACACTAGAAATAGGAATGGCTAGCACATCACGTGCCATCTCAGCAAGTGCGGGAAATCTGGGTGAATTCAACTTCCACCACCCCAGAATTTTAAAATTTTCAAAGTCTTCCTCAACATCTTCACCCAAATATTTATCTAACTCTGTTTTAGAATCAATTCCTTCACCCTTCTTATGCTTCTTTAAATCTAACATGAATTTTGAAAGCGATGATGAAGAAGTAGATGAAGTTGGAGAAGATGGACATGAACCAGGGGAAGATGGAGAAGATGGACATGAACCGGAAGATGGAGAATATGGAAATGAACCAGAACCACCATTCTTCTTTGCATACACATTGAACAAAGATTCCATGTATGTCTTCACCTCAATTTGTATTTTCACACCTATTGTTTCTCCAAACATGGCAGCAAGAGCAAACGAAAGAGATTGAAACTTGTGGCGTGGATCGAACACACATGAAATAAAAATCATTTTGTTCATCTTTTGTGGATCCCCCCAATACTTATCAAACTTCTCTTTCATATTATTTGCCATTTCTTTCAAGGTAGCATCTTCACTTTGCATCAACTCTTTCAAAGAAGAACCAACAACACATATCTCAAGAAAGTGCACATTAGACGTAATATAAAGTGTACCTGATACCTTCAAGGTGAGTTCATAAAATATTTCAAGAAACTTCACAATACGTCTTACACTATCCCAATCAGTACTTAAAAGTGGACCTGCAGGCTGTCCATCCTCACAAATACAGTTAGAAATACATGACATCAAACCATAATCAATATCACAATATTTTGTAAAGGCTTCCTCATAAACTGTAGCAACCTTCAACATCAAATATGTGGAGTTCCACCTAGTAGGAACATCCAAGCACAATGATTTTTTAGAAGTTATCCTATCTAGATCACAACATTCTTTAAACTTCTTCCATCTTGCTGGAGATTGTCTAATGTACCTAACAGCTTGTCTTATTCTTTCCACAGACACACTCTCTTCTCTCAACCCATCTTGAACAACTAGATTGATGATGTGAGCCATACATCTAACATGANATGCTTCTTTAAATCTAACATGAATTTTGAAAGCGATGATGAAGAAGTAGATGAAGTTGGAGAAGATGGACATGAACCAGGGGAAGATGGAGAAGATGGACATGAACCGGAAGATGGAGAATATGGAAATGAACCAGAAGTACCACCATTCTTTTTTGCATACACATTGAACAAAGATTCCATATATGTCTTCACCTCAATTTGTATTTTCACACCTATTGTTTCTCCAAACATGGCAGCAAGAGCAAACGAAAGAGATTGAAACTTGTGGCGTGGATCGAACACACATGAAATAAAAATCATTTTGTTCATATTTTGTGGATCCCCCCAATACTTATCAAACTTCTCTTTCATATTATTTGTCATTTCTTTCAAGGTAGCATCTTCACTTTGCATCAACTCTTTCAAAGAAGAACTAACAACACATATCTCAAGAAAGTGCACATTGGACGTAATATAAAGTGTACCTGATACCTTCAAGGTGAGTTCATAAAATATTTCAAGAAACTTCACAATACGTCTTACACTATCCCAATCAGTACTTAAAAGTGGACCTGCAGGCTGTCCATCCTCACAAATACAGTTAGAAATACATGACATCAAACCATAATCAATATCACAATATTTTGTAAAGGCTTCCTCATAAACTGTAGCAACCTTCAACATCAAATATGTGGAGTTCCACCTAGTAGGAACATCCAAGCACAATGATTTTTTAGAAGTTATCCTATCTAGATCACAACATTCTTTAAACTTCTTCCATCTTGCTGGAGATTGTCTAATGTACCTAACAGCTTGTCTTATTCGTTCCACAGACACACTCCCTTCTCTCAACCCATCTTGAACAACTAGATTGATGATGTGAGCCATACATCTAACATGAACATGCTTACCTTCCATCAAGTTAGTGTTCCATCTAGTAAATTGTTTGGATAATTCTTTAACCATGACATCGTTAGAACTTGCATTATCAACTGTCACAGTAAATACTTTATCCACCCCCCATTCAAGTAAACACTTAGCAACACCACTAGCTAAATCTTGACCTTTGTGACTAGTAATTGGACAAAAATTTAATATCTTTTTATGCAAATTCCAATTCTTGTCAATGTAATGTGCTGTAACACACATATAGTTAATTCTTTGAATTGATGTCCATGTATCAGTCGTAATACAAATTCTCTGTTTTGATTCTTTAAAAATTGACTTCAAAGCAAGTTTTTCATCATGGTAAATCTCAAAACAATCTCTAGTCATAGTAGTACGGGATGGAATATGAAATAAAGGTTGAAGAGCTCTCACAAAGTCTCTAAATCCATCCTTTTCAACAGAAATGAAGGGTTGTTCATCTATAATTATCATACGAGCTAAAGCCCTCCTACATGCCTCTTGATCAAATTTCCAAGGGATAAGTGAGACATCACCTGTTTGACCTTTCGGTTGAACAGCTAATTTTGTCTGGCTTGTCTCCGGCTTGTGGGGATTGTTCGGACACTTGAGAAGATGTGATAGCAAATTGCTTGTACCACTGTTTTTGGTGTTAGCAACATATTCTTCTGGACAGTACTTGCATTTCGCATTTTTAACACCGTCGTCATTNTTAAAAGTGGACCTGCAGGCTGTCCATCCTCACAAATACAGTTAGAAATACATGACATCAAACCATAATCAATATCACAATATTTTGTAAAGGCTTCCTCATAAACTGTAGCAACCTTCAACATCAAATATGTGGAGTTCCACCTAGTAGGAACATCCAAGCACAATGATTTTTTAGAAGTTATCCTATCTAGATCACAACATTCTTTAAACTTCTTCCATCTTGCTGGAGATTGTCTAATGTACCTAACAGCTTGTCTTATTCGTTCCACAGACACACTCCCTTCTCTCAACCCATCTTGAACAACTAGATTGATGATGTGAGCCATACATCTAACATGAACATGCTTACCTTCCATCAAGTTAGTGTTCCATCTAGTAAATTGTTTGGATAATTCTTTAACCATGACATCGTTAGAACTTGCATTATCAACTGTCACAGTAAATACTTTATCCACCCCCCATTCAAGTAAACACTTAGCAACACCACTAGCTAAATCTTGACCTTTGTGACTAGTAATTGGACAAAAATTTAATATCTTTTTATGCAAATTCCAAACACACATATAGTTAATTCTTTGAATTGATGTCCATGTATCAGTCGTAATACAAATTCTCTGTTTTGATTCTTTAAAAATTGACTTCAAAGCAAGTTTTTCATCATGGTAAATCTCAAAACAATCTCTAGTCATAGTAGTACGAGATGGAATATGAAATAAAGGTTGAAGAGCTCTCACGAAGTCTCTAAATCCATCCTTTTCAACAGAAATGAAGGGTTGTTCATCTATAATTATCATACGAGCTAAAGCCCTCCTACATGCCTCTTGATCAAATTTCCAAGGGATAAGTGAGACATCACCTGTTTGACCTTTCGGTTGAAAAGCTAATTTTGTCTGGCTTGTCTCCGGCTTGTGGGGATTGTTCGGACACTTGAGAAGATGTGATAGCAAATTGCTTGTACCACTGTTTTTGGTGTTAGCAACATATTCTTCTGGACAGTACTTGCATTTCGCATTTTTAACACCGTCGTCATTAGTGAACTTACTGAAGTGTCGCCAAGCCACTGATCTTTCTTTCATGATTTTTCTTTTCTTCGAACCAGAATCACATTCGACGTTGCTTGTGGAATCATTTGAAGCACCACTTTCACCACATTTTACAAGGGCTTGAACTTTATTCACCATCTCTACCTCATCTTCCATCTATGAAACAAAACAAAAAATTAAAATTAAAATCGGATTCAAAATAGTAGTATAGTATGGCATGGTCTATTTCTGTATAAGAAAATCAAGAGTGAAACTGAAACCCCCAATTTATTTCATCAATTTTATCCAAGAAATAAAAGAGAACAAAGAGACCTAACCCTAGTGTCTTTCTTAACAATTTAATCAATTCTTAGTGTCTTACCAGATATCAGTTACCAGTGCGGTCGCCGGAACACAGAGAACAGATAGAGGAAGCGACGAGCAGGAGGGAGCAGCTTGAGGCGTCGCGTGAAGACTGAAGTGAGCAGCACCAGAACTGCAGTCTCTGGGTGTGACTTGCAAGGCGTGAAGAGTGAAGACTGAAGCCGGGAAGTGAGCAGTGAGGACTGAGTCTGAGGCGTGAGAACTCAGGTTGAGGTATTTGCTGCCATGGCGTGAGAAAGAACTCAGGTTGAGAGCTGTGAGGACTGAGTCTGAGGACCACAGATAGAGGCACGGAGGATGAATGAAATAAGACCTAATGTCCTAATGCACCTAACCCTAAAAATAAAATTAGAATTTATATTTCCCTTAATAAATTCGGATTTCGGATCGATCGGGTTCAAACTATACAAATCCGAATCCAATCCGAAAATCCGAAATTTTAATAAATCAAATCCGAATTCCGATCCAAATATCCGAAATCCGAAATCCGAATTTCAGCGGATCGGATCGGATTTCGGATATCCGATCCAAATGCACAGCCCTACTAGGGATCCGGCATGAAGCTGAGTTATTCTAGGTTTATAACCTGGGTATTTGTTCTAGACTGTGTACCCGAGCGGACAACTCGAGTCGAGGAGGGGGCTACGTACCGGGAACCAAAAGGCCATCCGGCTTAGTAACTTGTCCGAGCCTCTTCCTTATTTCAAGGTATGACACTAACAGAATAGGGAGTCTCGACCAGCGAGCACATCCCCGAAGATGAGAAGAGAAGGGTTTCGTAACAGTTTATACACAGTTCATATAATATCAAAGCGGTAAAAGCAA